AATAACGGCATGTCACGCTTTCTTTCCTGCCTTTGAGTGAGATGTGTCATGAGGACAGAGAGTTACAGCTTGTGAGACATCTTTTCAGATCCATTAAATTTTTCCCTTTGACCAAACTGACAGAATCAGAACAGGAGGGGCTCTCCTCCACCACTCTCCCTCCCCCAACTTCAACCACTGTTTACCTTCTCCATCTCCTGGACAACCGGCTGACACTGGGAGAGCCTCAATTGGAAATCAAGAAATCAAGCAGTCAAGAATCTGTCATTCCACTGTTCCAAGCTTTGGGAGATCCCTTTATGGGAATTTATTGTTGGTCGGCCTTCCCTAGTTCCCTAGTTTATCACCTCTTCTCATGGATGGAGCATATTCTTTCTGGCTATAGTGTGTCAGTCTGGCTAAGCTGCTAGCACTCATGCCTCTGACGCAAAAAATTGTGGGTTCGAACCCCCCACTTCAGAACTTGAACTCATACTCTGGCTGACACTCCAGTGCAGTTCTGGGGGAGCACTGTTTTGTACAGCTGTTTGGATGAGACGTTAAAACAAGGAGGCAGGCAGACCTTAAAGATCCGATGGCACCATTTGAAAAGGAACAGAGTTTTCCTGGTGCCTGGCAAACAATCCACCTGATAAAATTGGTCATTCACTTCATGGCTGTTGTGTGGGACATTTCTATATACCGTGTACAAAGTGGCAGCCATATTCGCCTACAAAATACACAGCAACTAAACTTTACAGTATATCCTGTGAAGGGATTTGAGATGTCCTCCTGACATGAAATGCAAATGCATTTTTATGTAAGGATGCAGCTAAAAGGTGTCTACTTTTCGTGGTTGCCCCATGATACCTTCCAGCCAGTTTTGACAGACTTTTGAACTGTGGGGAAGGAAGACAGGTCACAGCAGACTTGCCTGACAACTGGAATTCCAGCTTATCTTAGCCTGTAAATCTAACTTGTCTTAAAATTCTGTACATATTTTACAATGAAGACAAGATGCTTTCTGACAGACACTGGTGTTGCTTTTACACACAAATTCACCTAAAATGCTCAGTTCAGCAGGTTTACTGTCAGTCTCAGCTTTCTGCTGATATTATTAGATATAACACCTTATCACCTTATCGTGTCATTGAGACATTTCTAAATGCTTCACAAGATTTTCCTGTAAAGTGTAGGTGCCGTGTATTTGCGAGTGAATGTGGCAGCCAATTTGTACACACCTGTACAATCTAATAATAATAATCCTTGCATTTGATATAGCGTCTTATCGTAACTTCAAAACATCTTAAAGTGCTTCACCGAATATACTGTAAAGTGAATTTACTGTATATTTTGTGGGCAGCCAATTGAGCTCAGCAGATATGTTCCCACATATTGCACATGTTGATATAATGCGCGAGGGAATGACGTGATGTAAGATGTGCAACATTGCCATCCATTAATGCATCCGTCCTCTACTCATGCAGCACATGATTAACCCATCCCAAAGACCCATTAACCCATTACAGGCATGACTGCAAAATAAAGTTGACAGTTGCAGGGAGAACAGCCTCTGAATATCCTCATTTCCACATAAAGTGCTCCAGCGGCATGCACAACTCCTCATTTAGGCTTATAACAATACGTCTTTGCAGCTCGTGTACTCTCGCGCACCAGCCTCCGTGACCCCATCACTCCCACCCTCACCCGACTCCACTGGGTCCCCATCCCTCAGAAGATCGAATTCAAGATCCTCGTCCTCACTTTCAAGGTCATTCACGGCCTTGCCCCCTCCTACCTCTCTGACCTGCTGACTTCCTACCAACCTGCCCGCTTCCTCTGTTCAGCGGGCTCTGGCCTGCTCCATGTCTCCCGCCCGACCCGCCCTATCATCAGTGGCCGGGCTTTCAACCTCTCTGCCCCCACACTCTGGAACTCCATCCCACGGTCCCTTCGCATCGCTTCCTCCATTGCCTTTTTCAAGGCTGGTCTCAAGACCCTCCTCTTTGATTGTGCCTTTGGTCACCCTCCCACTCCTCTGCCTTCCTTCACCCCTACACCACCACCCCTCCCCCATGCTCGGGTCCTGACCCCTGACTGTCCAGCGCCTTGGGACATCCTATCAATGTGAAAAGCGCTCTATAAATGTAATTTTGTTGTTGTTGTTGACTCCGCCAGCAACCCTGCAACACTTTGCTAGGTTGACATAGCATCAGAGGCCGTGGACAGCATCAGCCACAACAGACAATGCAGACTATTATAATTTGCTCCAGTGACCATGGTAATGACTTCATGTTGCAGACTCCAGCTGGTGTAAATAGGGCTTTAATTGAACATGAACTGGGTCTCACTGTAGTCTCCTTATGCATTCATGTGAGATGACTGATTGCAGGTGTCAGTTTGATGTGCAGGCTTCATATTGTTAGCATTTATCACAGTGATGAGTTGGGGGGAGTGGGTTACAGACAGCTCTCCCTGGATCTTTGCTAAACTAGGTTTCAGTAGAGCAATCTGTGAGATTTGCTGGCTAACTATAACATGACAAAAAAGAGCATTTGGACATCAACCCAGTCACTGAATTCCACTGGGTTGCGTTAATCAGATGGACACATAAATTGATAGGTAACTGGGGGCTAGGACTTAGTGCTGATGTGTCAATTGTTTTGTTTGGTCAGCCGGGTGTCTGACACATACGGGAACCCATCACGCTGCTTAAGATGATACAAACCAAACTGTGATTTCTGTACATCCCACCTACACATGGAAATCCCAGAAATAGTGTTGGATTGGAATGCACACTATCTCTCTGGAGGCACGCATCCTGCTTACCTAATTCCGGAACGTATTAGGCGATGGTTGGCAAGAGCCAAGGTTTGAGGACCCCAGAGTGTGCGTTGGGGTACTGCTGGAGTCTAACCAGCTAAAACCACATAGCTTGCCATTGATGTCACTGTCTGGCAAGCTTTCCTGCTGCTTGTCCCGCTTCGACCACCCTACCCTACTTGCAGGGCTAAAAGGAACAGAGTGGGATGACTCCCTGTCCGCAGTCATGACAATCATTTTATCTTAAAATTTAAGATTGTTCAGAATTTTGGAAAATGCTTAAATTCAACCTTGATTTGGAAGCCAGTTCATTTTGAAAACTGCACTATACCAGCTTCCAAATTAAAAGTGTATTTAAGAATTTCCTAAGATTCAGTTTTAAATTTTAAGATAAAATGATCTCCCAGAGTAACGCTACATAGAATTTCAGGCTACGATTCTTCAAATTGCAAAATTGGCTACTGTAGTTCACCCAGAAAATACACACAGCCACTTCACTTTACTGTACATCCTGTCAAGCACTTGGAGACATCTCGACAACATGATAAGGGACTAATTCAAATGCTAGCATTATTATTATTTATATTTTAAAGATATTTGAGGAATCTCATCAGTTCTCCTTAATTATCAATGTCACCTAGAGAAGTCACAGAATGTTTGATGTGGAAACTGAAAATGTTATGCTGAGGATGGGGTGAAACACTTTGCAGGGTATTTTGTGGGCAAATGTAACAGACAATTTTGTGCACAACAATGTCCCACAAACAGCCATGGAGTGAGTGACTAATTTTATTTGGGAGATTGATGGCCAGGACACCAGAAGAAACTCCCTTCTCTTTTTGAATAGTGTTGAAGGATTTATTGTCCAATGGACAGGCATACAGGAACTCAGTTTAACGTCTCATCAAAGGACAGCTCCTCCGACAATGCAGCAATCCCCCAGCACTGCATTGGAATGTCAGCATAGGCTATTTGCGTTCTAAATCCTGCGTGGGTTTTGAACCCACAACCTTCTAACTCATGAGACGAGAGTGCTACCAACTGAGGCAGGTCTTTAAAATATATACAGCATATTTTTAAATGTTCTCCAGTTTTTAAAAAAAAATGTAATTTGTTCCCCATGACAGGAAACCTGTTTTATTCTCTCCAGCCGTATTGTTGTTATTATGAATTAATAGCTAAAATAATAACAAAACAATAAAATCCGGAATAATATTTATATGGGATAGCAGATGGCTGGAAGCAATTCATTGACATGATTGCTGCTGTTGTAAACAGCTCCATCAGACGTAAACAGCAAAATCTGGCAATTGAACTACCATCTTACACTCATTATCAGTTCATTATCACTCTTTATTGCCTGTGTGTCATAGGGTTTGATTTAAAACAATGTTGTTGACTCTTTGCACCTGTATTGGGCTTGAACAGTAGAGCCAGTCTGATAAAGGTGAAAGGTTGGTTAGTGAAGGTAATCGGAAGAAAGATCTGAAGTTAAACAGTACCATTGGGGCTAGATGAAAACCTGGTTAAAATATAGGAAACAAAGAGTCAAAACAATTTTGAGAGGGGTTAATGTGATTATTATTGTATTATTACGATAATGTCAGATGAAACAAATACTTAGTGGAGCCTCACAAGATTCAGCGCTTGGACCCTGGTTTCTAATGTACATAGATTTCACCCAATTGTTCCAAGAACAGTCTTCACTGTACTCTAAAACTCCCTTCCTATCCCACCCACACTATATTCCCAGTCTATCCTGGGATGATTTGTGGTCTGAAGGGCCTCTGTGGCCCCTGTTAGCTCTGCCCCTAGAACTGTGGCTGATCAGCACTTACCTTAGGCCCTGCGAGCTACTTGAGCCCAAGGTACATTACAATACAAACAAGTCAAGTTAGAGCAGGAAGACTTAGAAAGGCACCTGGGAGTAATGGTAGCCATGCCATTGTCCTATTCCAAACAATGTGTTAAAGCAATTAGAGTTGGGGTATATATCTCCAGAGGAGCAAATTCCAATGCTGTGTTCTGACTGCGCTTTTCAAGTGGAATCACTGAGATTCTCAAAATGCAAGGATTATTATTATTTTTATTTGTTCCTGCGAAACAATGTGCAAATAATCTGCAAGTGGAAAATAAACTAATAAATTGGTATGTTGAGGAAAGCTTTTTTTTGATGTTTTGTTTATTTGTTCACACAGCTAAATCCTACTGCAAAACATCTGATCGAGATGGACAAGCCGTGTCTTCCAGTAGCACAGAGCAGTGATGGAACGCCCACTGCTGGTTCCAGTGCAGGAGCTGGTCCAGCAATAAGTTCCCCACTAAACAGTGTGGGGGCTATCAGCGCTGTCCACAGGCGCATCGATGGCAAGAAAAATGCCAAGAAACGTCATTCGTTTACCTCCTTCAGCATATCTCACAAGGCTTCCCAGGCCGTCAACAACAGACACTCGATGGAGATCAGCGCCCCGGTCCTCATCAGCTCCAGTGACCCCCGAGCTGTGGCCAGGATTGGGGAAGGACCACATCTTTCATCCAGTGCTCCTTCCCAGGTAAAGTATATTGGGAAAATATCCAGCTAACATTCCACCTGCAATGCAAAGGCAAACGCCGATTGCAGATGTGAGACTGTATTCAGACAAACTTAAGTTTTTATGTGTAGTCCAGAAAGTTGTTAAAACTATACCCCATCTAGCTGAACTAATGCCAAGGAGATCCGGTCCAGTGAGCTGGAATTTCTGACTAAGTGTAATTACAATGCTGATATTGGATTTGTAATTGTTTGAATCCTGTGAGCGGAAGATAGCAAATAAACTATAAAAATACCCTGATATAGTACTTAGTCATGTAACTTTCGTCTTTAATGGGTGTGCCCAACACCAAACTAAAATTGATCATTCACTTTATGACTGTTTGCTGGACATTGGTGTGCAAATTGGCTGCCGTCTTTGTCTACAAATACACAGTCATACATTTCATTGTCAAATCCTGCAAAGGGTTTTGAGACATCTTGTCGATGGGATAAGGCCCTATATTAAATGCAAGCATTATTATTATAATAAAATAGGATGCTTGGTTTTAATGTCATTAAAGAGTTGGTCATACAGCTCACCTGACAAGATATCTGAGGGATGGGCATTTTTTGATCATTTACAGCTATGAATCCCAAATTAGACACTGGAACAGCTTCAGTTTAAAACATTTTTGTGTCCAGAGGTCTCCCAGTGGTATGTATACTTTTTGTGCCTCCATGTTTTCTTTGCACTGGTCATCAGACTGGGTGTACTGGTGTGTTTGACTAGTAGGAAAGTGTGATCAACCCTCCCTGATAATAACTAATATCCGACAACCTGTTTTGAGCCACAAAGTTGCTTCCATTTGTTGCAAATAAATTTCAAAGTCAACAAGCAGGTTATACAACATTACAAGTCTCCCCAGAGACAGAAACCAAGATGCTGAAGTATCTGTTCCTTTTATATAATATTAATGAGGCTGAAGGTCACATGCCACCTAGAATATCTTTAACTAGCAGTGAGATAGAAAGAAAATCCAAAGTCCTCTGAAGACAGTGCTGCTATAGCAAAGAGACCGCTCCCCCACACCACCTGTGTGAGTTGCCTGAAATGCATTGTCTTAGTCTTTATGACCATTTTACCTTAAAATTTAAGATGGAAAATCATAATTGTGGAAAATCCTTAAACGCAGTCTTAATTCAGAACTTGGTCTTCTGCAGGTCTTAAAAATAACCAGAATTAAAATTACACTTAAGAATTCTTCGTAGTTCTGAGCGATCTTAAATTTTAAGACAAAATGATTATTATTATTATTATCTTACAAGCTCAGACTACATAGAATGTCAGGCTCCATATGAGGAACGTATTAGGACTCGAGTGCTATTGGCATATATTGGAGATTTTCCAGGATTTATTTTTAAAAAATAAGTTGATTTGATTCATTTCTAACTGCAGCACTGTTTATAGACATGAACACAGTCTTTTACATTTTTTTGCTCAACTCATAAATTGCTTTCTTGCTGTTGTCAAATATTACTAGAGACCCGTTCTTCATTACTGCAAAAGTGTGGTTTGTTTATTGTGTATCTGCCAGTGCACTGAAAGTAACAGTCTGATTAGTTTGGCACTGTGAATCAGGCCTGTCAAGTTTGTGGTGTTGGCTGTCAGGTTTTATTGCTAACTATGGAGAGAGCAGCTGTCCCACCATTTAGTGTTAATACATCAGTAAGATTATGTTAATACATCAGTAAGATTATTTTGTTAAAAATTAAAAGAACATACATAGACAATAGCTAAGTGCAATCCCTCTTNCCCCCTGTGTGCCACTGAACGACACAGACCAAGGAGATCCCAGGCTTATCCTTTCATTCTTGATCTGTATTTGCTCTACAAAATACACAGTCACTACACTTCACAGTGTACCCTATGAAGCACTTTGAGACATCTTCGCAATGTGACCTGTGTCATATGTAAGAATTATTATTATTTTTATTGCAGCCAAATGATACGACAACAACAACTTGTATTATATAATGCCCTTCACATAGGACAAAGTCTCGGACACTGAAATTGGCCTCAGTGCCCCTGGGTTGGGGAGGGAGAGGAAGAATAGATGGGGTTGGGGGGGTGGGTGGGGGGAAGGATTGTCTGCACCTAATTTACTGTTAAATTGTCCCTCAGAGAACACAATGAGTTGTGTGGAGATTTTAATTCTGAAATTGGGATTGAGAAGAGATAGACAGAAAATCAGACGAAAAGCAGAAACAAAGCCCCAAAAAATCTATAAATGCTGTTTTCACACTGCACTGAAGGATGCAGCACACCACATGCTTTGCTTTCACAACTGTGGAAGTAAAAGCTGCATGTGTACTGGTTGTGTCGTGAATTTGATGAATCAAGTACCCAGTGTCCTGCACAGAATGCTGCTCAAACCTCCCAACAATAGTTTGATTTTTGATGACTGACAGTTAGCTTTTTCCAGTCATTAAAATCTGACCAATTGTACAGTAGATTCCAGTGTGAGTTTTTAATGGTTGCACATATTGGTGGGTGCATATGTACCAGGAGTGTGGGACCAAGTGTGCAAGCACAGGACTAAACACAATAATAATAATAATAATAATAATACTTGCATTGATATAGTGCCTTATCACGCTATTGAGACATCTCAAAGGGCTTCAAAGAATATACTGTATTTTTTGTGGGCACAACTCCCTGATGCACTCCACAATCTCCCCGAAGCAGTTTGTTAATCTCCGTGAAAGCTCCTGTTTGAAGGTTGTCAGGTTGTAGGTTGGATGCCAAAATTTGGGGAAATGTTGCATTTCCAAGGCTTTGCCCAATATGGATAAAACATTAATTAAGTGGTACAGTGGTGCAACCTGCTGGTCTTCCAACGTACTACAGCAGTGTCAACTGGGAGAAGAGTTTCCACTCACATGTCAATGTTGCAACCAGAAGAAATGATGAAGCACAAACTAAGACCTTCCATCCTGAGGGTGTTCAAGGTCACATGGTCACCTTGATCATTTTACTGCACTTTTCAACACCCCGATTGTTGTGTATAATAATAAAATAATAATAATCCTTGCATTTGGTATTGGGCCTTACCACGTTGTGAAGCATCTCAAAGCTCTTCACAGAATATACAGTAAAGTAGATTGACTGTATATTTTGTGGGCGAAAAATAGTAGATTGTGTGGGTTGGCATGGTAAGACACTGGAAGAGCTGCTCAAGATGTAGGAAGCTTAGGGCATGGGGTGGGGGGAGGAGGGCTACCCTTTTAGATGATATATATATTTACGAAGCATGGCTAAGGGGGTGCCAGTAGCAAGGTCTCAGCTGTTCAACCTCTTTTCATTTACCCCTCTATGACTTATTTGCATTAAAACAAATGCAAAGGTCAAGTGTCAGGCTTGTCTCAAATTCCCAGAATTTGGCTCATGAATTGTTAAAATACGTTTTGAACCAATTTTCACTAAAGTGATGTTCATTGAGGATGGAAGGATTGCAGCGTGTATGATGTAGGCAGAGATGCAGGTGGCACTTGCCATTAAGAAATTGGCTTTGGCACTTTAGAGATACAAATAGATCGCTTGCAAATTGGTATTCAAATTACATGTTGCAGCTACATTGTCTGAAGGAGACAATATTTGAGCTTGTCAGTTTTGCTCAATTTCTGTCACATTTTTCTCTGAGTCAGAAGGTTGTGGGTTTGAGATTTTGAACTCATAATCTCAGCCCACACTCCAACAACAACAACTTGCATTTATACAGCCCCCTTCATGCAGGACAACGTCTCAGAGCATCGCAGTGTAGGAGGAGCACTGCATTGTCATCGGGTCATCAAGTCAATTGGTGCTTTTCTCCACACGCGGTATAATCTAATCCCACTCTCCTTATTCCTCAAACTTTTAATATTCGCCTTTTCAATAATTTTGTGTGGGGTGGGGGGTGGTCAGCTGGGTGTCTGCACATGCGGAAACCCACCCCCATGATTAAGAGTATCCAAACCAGCCCAAGAATTCCATACATCCCATCTACATGTGGAAATTCTCATGTTTTGGAATGGAATATGCCAAAATATGGCATCTTTTCAAGGGATGCCTAGACAATGATTGTATGTGCTACATCTACCTTTTCAGAAAACATAGTATTATTTCTGAGGTGTAACCAAACATATGTTTGTATGTTTTTTAGGATTCGTCCTCTATAATCGCTAGCACAACTGTTGGTGCTGTGGGACCAAGATTAGGAATTACCCTAGGAGACCAGGGCGTAGCAACAAAAGCACAGCTCCCACTCAACATGTAAGTGATCATTGCAATCAATGCACTGTGTTCCTCCAGGTAAGCTTCACCCACTGTGAAATCTGGTGGCAGTGAAGTGATGTGACAAAGCAGATTTGCATATCAATATTGGGAAACGTGTTGAAGGAAATTTTGTCTTTGTTACAATTGCAACAGGTCCTTACGATAGTAAAATGATTGGTTTTTTGTTACAATTTACAGAAATAGCTGCCTTTGTGTCTGTCGTAGCTTTATCTCTTTCAATTAAGTCATGTCCCACAGGGGTTCTGGAACTATCAGCTGTGAAGAACAGAATAGTTATCACCCGTGATTACTGTTATTTGTGGATGTCAACAATGGTTCTGTGATGTTAACTATGCCAGAATGGGCCATCAAAGTAAAGGAAGTAGATAAATTACAATGGACAGTGGTATGAACATCGCCTCTTCCATCAGTGAAACTTATGCTCAATTACACCTGTAAAATAACACCAATTCCTTCCTCAGTCTTTACTTCGCCCTCTAATTTTCTCCCCTCTTCTCCTGAAGGCAGTGACTGATGCTAAGATATGGCTCTGCAAGAACTGTTCTCTCTCCAGTACCTCATCCCATTGCTCAAGGGTGAACCCCTGTCAGTGATAGTTAGTAGACCATTCGACCATAGGAGTACTGATCTGAATGTTGAATGAGTGGATTCTATAGTAGAGGGAATGTGAACCCTGTAGACATATCGATTGGCGCAAGTGCAAGCTTTCTTTACCCTTATACATATTGAACGAACAGAAACAGACCCTAGAGTCATTGCTGAGGAAAGCAACAACAAAGCTGATGCCTGGTGTTAGAGGCTAAGCTATAAAGACGACTTGATAAGGTAGGGCTCTTCAGCCTTGAAAAACAACATGTCAGAGAAGACCTTATTGAGGTATATAAGGCAGCGTATTAGATACAAATGAGTTAAAGATAATCCAGCACAGGCCTTCAGTTGCACCAAGCGAGCAGGACAAGAGGTCACAGGTACAAGGTTGTGAAGGGCAATCTTAGCAGAAATACCAGAAAGTATTTCTTTAAACAAAGATAATCAACAGCTGGGATGAATTATCAGGAAAGGCGTTAGAAGGCTGTGTTCTGTTTTCCTTCAGGAAATAGATTGATGCTGCAATGGGTGTATATCCTGGAAGAAAGAGATCAAATGGCCTGAAAGGTCTTCTTCATTTGAACCTCTTGTGATCTTGTAATGTGTGTTGCCTGCCACAGCCTCCACTCTAGATGTACTGGGCTGTAGCAAAACAAGCACAAAGTATGAAATATTTTTAGGACAGGTTTACAATTTCTTTTTACAAACAAAAACAGTGTTCATGTGGAAGATGAACATAATATTAGGAGTGGGGAAATGTAATCTTATTTCACGACAGATTACTTTATCAGCATAGAGCACCCGGTTGTATAACGTTTATGTGTATAGTTGCCAATCAAACATAATTGGGTTTTATTGCATATACATGGCATGATGAATCACACTGAAGCACCACAAACTAAGCATACCCACAGGGACTGTGAAAATCATTCTGCTTTCATAATATATAGGGATGAGGATCTGAAGAAAAACTAAGTCCAATTGCAAAATCCCTCAGGAGCAGCTGGGATATAACACTACGAATCTTCTCTCTCTGATGTCAGTCATGTTCATCAGATTATGTTTTGCCCAGAAGCAGTATAGTCCAGCCCTATTGTCTGTAGTCGGGTTCCATAAAATTAAGCTGTGTTATAACCAGAACACTGTTCGCACACACTTCCCAGGTTTTTTCTTTTTTTCAAACGTTCTCAGTTTGGTTTGGATATTCTTAAACATGATGATGGGTGTCAGACACCCACACGACCAAAAAAAAAACACATTTACGGAGTTGCCAGGGTGGTCCTGATGTGATCAATCCCGGCTGCTTATGGAGTGTGGGAAGCCAACCAGGCAGCGTCAACTCCTCTTCACAATCATTCCTTCAGGCAGCCGGTGGAAGTCAATGTCCCACTTTTTACTGTGTCACCTCCAAATTGTACCACATTATATTATGAGCCACTCTGTAATATGTCGGGACTGTACTATTAGTTAGCACCACTAACCAGTAATGTTGGTGTGAAAATGGTGACATGTGTGGGTAAAATTTCCCCCAAGATCTGCTGTTTGGACCAAAGGTGTAATGGCTGCTGACAAATTCGACCATTGCCAAGTGTCGGAGTCACAGACATCGGTAGAGGGTGAATTTTCTGTGATGTGATACTTATCACTGGTGATGTCCCTACACTGACACTCTAAACAATTAACACCCAGTGAGTTGACTTATGGCCAATTGTTTTCCTTCCCACTACGTGAACAAATTTCTCAAGATCCTCACCTGTGCTAGAGCTCCATGGGCACTGGTTACTTTCCACTAACTCACTCACATGACTTTCTGTTGAGCCAGCACAGTGAGTGTCAGAGTGAACCAGACTGAAAAAAAGGTGTTTGGAATGGAACGTGCTTTCTCCCTAGAGGGATGCATCCCACTTACCTAACTCCGGAGAGTTTTACAATACAGTTTGCATTCGTATTGCGCCTTTCACGTTGGAAGGACGTACCAATTAGGGGTCTGCGTATTAGGTGCTAGTTGCCAACAGCAAAGGTTCGTGAACCCCCAGAATGACTATTTGGGTACTACTGGAAGTTAACTTGCTAAAACCACATAGCTTGCTACTGGAAGCACAGTCTGCCAAGCTTTCTGCTGTGGGTGCATCTAGGACCACTTTATCCATTATCGCTTTGGTTTGCAGGGTTAACAGGAGCTGAGTGAGAAGAATCCCAACCCTCAGTAATCATATCCCATCTCAGTGAAATGAAGCACGAGCTGTTTTAAGAAACATTCTCCACTCCCACATCACCCTTCTCTCGCAAAATATAGACATATTTAAAAGTACATTAGCAGTCTTTTACATTGGATTTTTTTTGGAAGCGCGGTTTGTATTTTAGTCTTCCCAGCTGCTAAAACAATAAAGAAGAGCGATGGAGCGAAAAAAAAACACAGACAAAAAGCAGCATGTCTCCCTTTGCTGAGGTTTTATTTTCAAAGCGCTCAGCAGCTTTAATGGTTATGGCATGGCACTCCCAACTCCCGAGGGTTGTGAGTTCAAATCCCAGTCTCAATTCACTTTTGACCTTGCCTCCCCATCTTTTCTGTCTATTCTCCATCAGGCTACTAACTGAGCCATTACTCAGCAGGAGAGTGCTTCAATTTTGAGAAGCAGTAGAGAGAGGAAAGAGGAAGAGAAGCAAGAATTAGTCCAGTCCTTAGAGACAGTACAGACACACACCTAATAGCATTGATTTGCTACTGAGCAGAGTTCTGTGGTTTAGACAATCCAACCTCCTGGTTTGAAGCAGGAATCTAGGTGAACTAAACTTTCAAAAGCATTTACAAACTTCTGGCTTGCTTTTAAACTCCAGATATATGGCCCTGTATGCTTACAAGCCTCAAAAGACAGATGAGCTGGAACTGCGGAAAGGAGAGATGTACCGTGTCATTGAAAAATGCCAAGACGGGTGGTTTAAAGGCACTTCCCTGAGGAATGGAACGTTGGGCGTCTTTCCTGGAAATTATGTTACTCCTGTTTCCCGGTATGTGAATAATTATCATTAATAATAAAAACATTTTGAATTTTTATTATTATTGAAATGACAAAACACTTCAGCATTTTAGGTTTTCGTGCCTTCTCTCCCCTATGGTCCTGAGTCCTTTGCCGTAGGTCCAGAAGAAAAGAGTAAAACCATAAGGAAGTATGTTAAATTTATATAAACCCTTGGTTAGATCACATTTGAAATACATTGTACAGTTCCGGTCACCATACTACAGGAAGGATATTGTAGCATTGGTGAGAGTACATCGTAGATTGACAAAGATGTTACAAGGGATGAGAGGATATTGTTATCAAGAAAGATTGTACAGGTTGGAGTTTTTCTCTCTAGAATTGAGACTATAATAAATAGGGTCAGGAATTGCTTATCAATGCTGACTGTGACTTTGACTGTCCCATTGTTCTGGCTGTAGGGGGCAGCAATGAAATACAAGTAAAATTAAAGTGAGTTACTTTGCTCTCTTTCAATAAACTTTGAAATCCATTGATTTATTTCAATATCTTCACCAAAAATCTTGGCTTAAATACAGGAGTGAAAAATGCCAATGTTGTTATCGCTGTCTGTTTCAGGGCTCCCTTTGGAGTGGCTCAGTCGAGGAACGCCGTATTAGGAGGTGCTGTACAGACAGTGAAAGGAAACTCCACATCTGGTCATTCAGCAGTAATTGGTCTTGTGAATAACGGAGTAAAACCCGTTCCTCCTGTTGTCATTCCTCCTGCTCAGCCACAGCTTCATACAGCCAGTCCTCAGATCAATAACTGTTTGCGCTATTCGGGCCAACAAACGGTCAACCAAGCCCGGAGCGCAATGCAGATGGGTAAGTGAGGTGTAAACTTCCTATTAAGGCTGTCAATAGAATGAGCTATATGGCCCCTGTTGGTGACATGCCCTCATTAGTGAGTTTAGATTTTAGTCATCATTAGTTTCAAATAGGGTATTAGACTGACTCAGTTGGTAGTGCCTTCACCTCAGGTTTGAAGGTTGGGTTCAATTATTGCATCAAGACATGAGCTCATAGTCTAGGCCAACACTTTTCTCATCTGCCTTTCAGGGGGCCCTTAAAGCCCATGAAGCCTGTTCCACAGTTTATTAGATTCTGACATTAATCCCAATGCTCCGTCCTTTTGTCAATACCCCTTAATACCTTTGCTGCCAAAGTATCTATCTGCCTTTTAAACATAGCTATTGATTCCGTCTCCACAGATTTCTAGCAGAGCATTCCATATCTTCACAACCCTCTACGGGAAGAATTACCTGATTTCATTCTAACAATTCTTCCAGAGAAATTGTTCATTCACGTTATGGGTATTTCACTGTCACGAATAGCTGTTGCTATCTATAAATAGTCAATACAGCAATTACCTGTGAAGCATTTCAAGATATTTTGATGCGATGAACTGCTATAAGAAATGAAAATGCATATTAATAAAATGATTATAATTCTTACATTTAGTATAGGGCCTTTCAGCTTTTCAATTCAGGAGGATGTCCCAAAGTGCCTCACAGGATGTACCATAGCGCAGTGACTGTGTGTTTTGTGGTGAATGCAGCAGCTGATTTACACTCGGCAATGACCCACAAACAGCCATGAAGTGAGTGACCAAGTTTATTTGGGCAATTGTTGGTCAGGACACCGGGAGAAATTCTCTTCGCTTTTCGACCTGAACAGGCAGACGGAAACTCGGTTTAATGGCTCAACCGAAGTACAGCACCCCCAAACAATGCACTGCTCTGGCTGCACTGCACTTGAGTGACAGCCCAGATTATGAATTCGAAGTCCCAACTCTGAACCCACAACTTTCTGACTTAGAGAGTGCAACCAACTGAGCCCATCTGATACTCAGACAGATCTATCAAGAATAGGGAAGTCCAAAGGTTAACCTGAATCCTATGTCTATGTATATTCTCTCACTGTTAAACGCTCTGAGATGCTACCCTGAATGGAGGGCACTATATAAGTGCCAGCTGTTGTTGTTGTATGTTCTGGGCACCAATACTCCAGAACTCTGGTTTAATAATTGACTGAGCTGAGCAGTATACTGGATAACCAATTACACAACTGAGTGCTGCTTTGTCTCAGTGAGCCACCTAACCCTTGTGCTACCTTCCCCATTTTATTTTTGCAGTCCATCCCGCTGTTCAAGTGCTTGACCGTCCTACGGCAACCGTGCCACCATTAAGAACGCAAAGCCCTCCCTCCCGTGTTCCAGCCACCATGGTGCGACCACAGCCAATGACCTCACCCCAACACATTCATCAGTGCAATGTGTCGGGAACCTCCGGGGTTCCTGGTTGCAGACCAGCCATTTCACTCACCTCTGCAGCTGTAGCAATTACCCCACCGAACGTTAACGCAGCCAACTTGAATGGAGACGCCATGGGCGGCCCAGCCAGTACCTCAGTGACGTCTAGTCCTTCAAATTCCGCACCTGCATTGGCCAAGTTGGAAGAGAGAAAAAGTGAGAAGGTGAGACCTGCTCATCACAGTAATATTCACTCATTTATTTCCTTTCCTTCACCACTCTGAATCCGTCATACCAGGAATTTAGGGATTGTACCTGTGCAATCTATCAAGAATGGGCAGCAGACCATATGAGAATCTCTATAAGTCAGGCTGATCCACAGAGAGTGAGGGCAATACAACAACAACTTGCATTTATTTAGCCCCTTCCCGCGTGGTAGCATCGTGTACCGCTTCACAGAGGCAAAGTCTGACAATGAGCCAGTGGGTGAGGGAAGGGGCAGGTGACCGGAAGTCACGATCGAAAAGGCAAGGTCTTCAGACAGGAATTGAAGGTGGGGAAGGAAGAGCCAGGCGGAGGGACTGAGAGAGAGAGATCTAGAGTTTCGGGGCATAGTAGCTGAAGGCATGGTCACTGATAGTGGATTGGAGGGGACGAGGAAGAAACAGGAGGCCGGAGCCAACTGAGCGGAGGCAGCGGGTGGTGGAGGGAATGAAGTGATTTGAAAATGAGTGAGAGGATCTTGAAATCGATCTATTCTGTGATTAGGAACCAGTGGAGCCTGGCAGGGACAGTTGTGATGGGGGTACGGAGTTTCCCCCAGTGAGTATCTGGGCTGCAGAGTTTTGAATCAATATCTCACCCATTCTTTATGTGTGAGCCTGAACAAGCCTACGTAGACATACAGTCTTAAATTAGGAGCCCTCAGTCTAAATTGTTTATACACATGCATCTTGAAAGGTGGTATGTTTGCAGCAAATAAACCAAGGCGCAGGATCTGTATCTCAGTCTTTTAATCAGCAGGTTATTTCCTATATAATGCAGTACTACCCTGGTGTACAATAACAACAACCTTCACATCAATATGTGATGTTGTTTGTTCATGCTACATGTTTTGACTTTTGGGAGAGTTGATGACCTTATGCTCTTAACACGGCACAATGGTTACCGGTAGCATTTAGGAAATAAATATTGGGCACGGAAAACTACTCATTTTTCAGTGTTACATGAAGCTCCTTTCGAACGTTACACTGACTGGAATTTCAGCCCAATTATGCTTGAAAACCCTCATGCGGTGAGTGAGTAATTTCAAGGCCACCACATTCTGGAGATAGATTGTGTTGCAGCGATGTTCCTCAAGTCAGCACCACAAATTTCTGGATTTCTTAATACGAAATCTGTTAAGAAATGTGGCAAAATTGACCTCGAAATCGTACTAACTACACCAAATAATCCTTCTGATTCTATTTAATTAAAATGAAAACAGAAATCATGCCTCATTAAATACATTTAATGACATTCAATGTCCATTTACAGACTAGTTATATCAAGCAAATACCAGTTTGCTTCACTTGAAATAAGTTGTATTCTTTACTCAGAATAACATCTAACCAGTTCACATAGTTTCCAAGACACACTCATAATCCAGAAAACAAGTAACAACTGTAAATACGATTGTTAATTTGGAAACATCCCAATAAATTGTCAGCCACCAACATCAGTTGCTTTTGTGAAAGAACAGTCCTACTCATTGGATTATACGGCAATGAAATCAGACCGCAGACAGTTATTCTGATTAGATACAAATCCTATTAACTGCATTCCAATTAAGTCTCTTCTATTGTAGAATAATTGTAAACGAGTGCAACACTTTGGGTGTAATTGTTGCTTATAAATAATTATGACATTTTATATTTTATCCTTTCATTTTTGGATTTTTAATGATGTTTTATTTGAATGATTTAAACTGGGAATACAGTCATCTGTTAATGCAGAGTGACAGATTCAGTAAAATTTAGCAAATAGAGCAGAATGGCCCCTGTTGTCTTTTTAAGAGATTAAAAAAATTGAAAGGAAAAAAAACAGGATGCCCTGTGCTCCTTGTGATAATTAATTGAAGACTAGCATAGGCCAGAAGCTTCTGAGCAGAATCTGCCCTCTCACTCAGGAAATTTCCCCTAACATAGGGAAACGCAGTGATGAGAAAATATACCAGAAAGTTCAATAAAATATATTGCAGATAACATAACATTAGCACAGACACAATTCAAAAATTGTAGACCTCTCAGGTCAGTAAGCAAACTCTGGCTTTCCCCTACTCCCAGTACAGTATGCCTGGACCCAGTGAGAAAACACTGTTCAAACTTTTAGCCGCCTTCTGGTTAACTTGTTGGAAAGATGCCAGCACTGCAGTGCATTTGCCATATGTCTGAGTTTTCCACACAACCTCTGAGGACCCCAGGGATTATTTCTGAGCTAAATCTACCTTAAGATGAATTTGCACATACTTTTAAATTGCTCTCAGTGCAGCTTTCAAGATCGAGCTATAGAGAGTCAACATCTGTGCTCAGCTCTCTTACTCACAGAATACTTAAGATGATGAAAATCTGGAAAAGTAAATAAGCTTATTGCTTAGAATATATTTTTGTGACTTTTGTTTTGAATCTAATAATAATATAGTGCCTTATCACTTTGTTGAGACTCCCAAATCGCTTCACAGGATATATTGTAAAGTGAATTAACTGTATATTTTGTGGATGAGATCCGACAGCCAGTTTGTGCACAACAATGTCCCACAAACATGTCTCAATGACATGATCAGATGCTATTTCAAATGAATTTTAAAATTATAAATAGGCCTGCTACAATGGCTTTAGTGCCTTATGGTTAGGGGGGGAAAACGCTAGGCAGAGTTTCCAGTGTCCTCTGCTGGAAAGTGCATGTGGAAATTGGATGAGGACAGAGTTAAGCTTGTCTGTGATGTTCTCCATTGCTGAATAGTCTGCTAGATGTATACCTGGGTTTTGAAAGCTGAGAGGGAAGAGGTGACATGAAGGGATTTCAGAAGAGAGTTCCAGAAGATGGGGGCAAGGTGGCAATCCCACTGAGCCTAGCAGTCAACAATTTAAATACCCAGCATGGAAACTGACATATTGGTGTATAGCGATATTTAGATCTTAGAGGAGGTTGACATTGAGACTCATGAAAGTCTTTCAAGCAACCTCAAAACTAGACTTCAGTTAACTTCCTGACAATGATTTACAATAATGAGTCCCCACCCATCACCTGGTGTCATATGCACTGGTTGAGGTAAGTTTCACCAGTCGCCACAAGCCGAGGAAAACATCAGATACCGGTTGAATCACACCACCCATTAGCTAATCACACCACTGCCAATGACAGCCTCTAACCTATCCCAGACCATGCGGAAAGAGAGAGTGGAATAAAAGACTCTCTGAAAACAACTGATGTGAGTAAGTGTGAAAGAGTGGGCAGGCTAGTCATTACCTGTTACAGACAGTACTGAAACTTGGCCTGTGCTGACCGGCTAAAATCTGAAAGAAAAGGCTACAAATGTTATCAAACTTTAACTCGATTCCATCGCTGGTCTTCTGTTTCCAGGGATGAAATGCTCTTTCTCAATGTGCTGTTATACTCCTGATGAGTATGGAATGTAATTAGCCATGTCTCCCAGGGCTGAGTCCAATAAGGGTACCTGATGTGTGCAAACATGCCCATCAATCGTCTCAATTTCATTACAAAAGTAGCACATTACCTCTGTGATGGATGGATGGACAGATGGAGTACAGGTCACTTTTAGCTAATGACAGGGGGACCCAATCAGTGACAGGAGCAAATCTCTGATCTTTTACTGCAGATGGTAAGGGACAGTGGAGTATTGTGCATTACTGGATCACTAATAGAGGGGGAAGCTAAGCCCAGAATTTTTGTCACTTTTGGGAGAACGAGAATTAAATTACTTAGTTCTAGAAGAGGCGAGCAACATCATTTTATAATGGTGTCATGCGCAAGCAATGTGAACATAAAATAAAATTCATAAACGGCTGTGAAGCTCTCCCTACTATATACAGATGAGGATACACATTTCAAAAAAAATCTGTGTAAATCCATCATCTTCATTTACCCTACATAAATTCTTACATTTGAAACCACTACAACCCAGTGCAATGCATTAAGACCATTGCATCGTGAAAGATAGAGAATATTGTTGAAAAACACAATCTAATACTTTTTATCACTCTTCCTTCCTGTTCATATAATTTACATTGGGATAAGAATCTCTCTTTTCTGCCAAGTGATATGAAGCTGGCTGACAAAATTCAATGACCACAACAAGATTCAACAACAAGATTCCATTTATAAAGCGCCTTTCACGTCAGGAGGACGTCCCAAGGCGCTGGGACCAGAAAGACCAGAAAGTATCTGGCTGTGTTTATACACAATGTGAACTTTTAAGAGAAACATGTGAACGGAAAGGAAACACTACTGAAAGGGAATTGAGACCTGGGTTCAAATCCTGGCAGGGCAAAACCTTAGGCAAGTTTCCCAATTTTTTAAATTATTTTTATAATAATAAAATTGGTCACTTTAATCCAAGACTGTTTGTGGGGGACTGCTGTGTGCAATTGGCTGCTGCGTTTTCCCCACAAATATACAGTCAATTCACTTTACAGTATATTCTGTTAAGCATTTTGAGACGTCTAGAAGATGTAAAAAGTGCTTCATCAAATCTAAGGATTATTATTATTAAGACAATAACAATTTTTTGGGTGTCAGCCTGGCTCAGTTGATAGCATTCTTGCCTCAAGTCAGCAACTGCAGGTTCTCACATCTAAATCTAGGCTAATACTCCAATGCTGTGATTGGAGTGTGCTGCACTGTTGGAGGTGCCATCCTTCGAATGAAATGTTAAACTGAGGCCCCATCTCTATCTATGGACTTCAATGATCCCATGGAACTATTCAAAAAGAGGAGAAAGTTTCTCTCAGTGCCCTTGCCAACAATCTCCCAAATAAAATTGATCATTCACTTCTTGGCTATGTGTAGGACATTGCTGTGTGCCAATGGCAGCTGTTGTTGTCCACAAAATACACAGTGACTACACTTTACAGTAAATCTTGTGAAGTGCTTGGAGGTGACCTTCCAATGTGAAAGGCACTATATAAATACATATTAAATGCAAGGATTATTATTATCTGTATAATTAAACTAAGCAGTGTTACAATCTTGCGGCTTGTAACACTGCCAAGCATCTTATTTTTTTAGTTTCATATCTCTTATGCTGACACTTGGTAGAGATTGAAACTAAAACCCACCAGCCAATACTTGAGTCTATGTTGAGGTGGGCTGAGATGAAGCCATATAAATATCAGGGTGAAGCTGCTTCACATATATTTGTAATACAGCACCACTAAATACATGTCATTTATAGTTGGTATTTTTAGTAAAAAGCTGTGTACATTGTGTCACTGTCCATGCTGTATATGAGCACAAGATTCTAAGCATGTTTTATTTGACTCTTTGATGTGGTTTGGGATTGCAGTGGTAGAAGGAGAATTACACTGGAGATTCAGGCAGTGTGTTCTCCTGCAAGTCCATGCTGGCAATGTGTGATACAATAGAGGTTCAGTTTGTGGCAAGATCAATGTCTGCCTGCCACTCAGGGTGTAAAAATGACTCCAAGGGACAGAGATTTGTATACAGTAAAACTCACATAAGTCTGATCTGTATAAATCGTATAATCGCCTCAGTCATACATCTGCCCAAATCCCATTTGAGAGTTTATATTCTATGCAAGTTTGACATAATTCATACTTTGCATAAGTCATATTAAATGTATAGTTAAAACAATAATAAAATTGGTCACTTCAATCCACGACTGTTTGTGGAACCCTGTTGTGCGCAATTGGCTGCCACATTTCGCCCATAAATATAGTCAATTCGTGAGCAATTTGAGACATCTAGAAAACGTGAAAAAGTGCTATATCAAATGCAAGGATTATTATTATTATTAAAGTTCCAACTGTTACGACTTATTGACTTATTGACAGATTGATTGAAGAATTTACTGTATAATATTTAATTTGTTGTAAATAATCCCTGTTTAGCTTTGCACTGTTATGGCTGAGTTGATATTTACAGCACGCTACACATAGCAGATTGCATAGTCTGCTTTAACGGAATTGCTGCAAAAGCTAATGCAGCAGAAGATTGGACATACCATGGCTGCCTGGGATATATTTCATACTGAATGCACTGTATAGACAATAGCTTGGGCTACTTGATAGAACTCTTGCCTCTTGATCAGAAGGTTGTAAGCCCTTTGTCAGGTCTTTGTGCTCATAGTCCAGGCTGCCATCCAATACAGTACCTTCAGATGAGATATTAAACCGAGGTCCAGTCTGCCTGTTCAGGTGAACTTTAAAGATATCATTGCACTATTCGAAAGGAGCAGGGAGTTTTTCCTTCTATCCTGACCATCAATCCCCAAATAAAATTGGTCACTCACTTCTGGTTATGGTACATTGCTCAGTGCAGATTGACTGCTGAGTTTGCTTACAAGTTACACACCCACTGCACCCGATAGCAATTTGAGACATTTTGACGTTATTGGAGATGTAATCAAGTGCGTGGATTATTAATTTTAATGAAACATGATTGACTGAGGAGAAGGAAGAGTAACAGAGAGGCGGGTTTAGAAACAGTTAACCATTTGTCAAAAAAAAACGGTGTTTTCTTTGTTGTCCACAGAAAGAGAAGAAAAGCAGCCTCTTGAAACTTCTGTCAGGCGCATCAGCAAAAAAGAAGTCTCGCTCCCCACCATCTGTATCTCCAACACATGACTCGCAGCAGGCGGCAGCAGCAGCAACAGCAGGTAGTTCCTTGCAAGGTGCTGTGGGCCCTGAAATTCTTCCGGTCTCGAGCCATGGCAGGGCTGGATCTTGCCCATTAGAAAGTGAAATGCAAGGAGCGATGGGGATGGAGCCACTGCACAGAAAAACTGGCTCCTTGGATTCCAACTTTTCCATTTCTCCACCCACACGGCAGATCTGTTCGTCCATGGCTGCAGTCCGTCCAGAACTGAAACCACTGCCTTGTGAAAGGTAGGTGACAAATGAAAGGGACTGGCGCAGGCACGATTAAGCGCTGATTGTTTACCGTTACCAAATATTTTATTGTGCTAATTTTTTTTCAGAATGGGTTAGGAAGATCAGACATAACAAGACTGCCCTGGGATGTATTTCAGACTGTATAATAATAATAAACAATAATATCCCTTGTATTTGTTATAGTGCTTTATCACATCTTCTAGACATCTCAAAGCACTTCAAAGAATATACTGTAAAGTGAATTAACTGTATATTTTGTGGGCGAAACGCAGCAGCCAATTGCGTAGAGCAGTGTCCCACAAACAGCCGTGGATTAAGCGACCAAATTTTTTTTAAGGCATTATTACCTCCGGCAAAGCAATCCGCCAATCAACTACCAACCAGGTTCCTACTTACTGCTAGGTAAACAGAGGCGTGTGGAGTAAGGAAATTTGCCCAAAATTTCGCCCTGCCTGGGAATCAAACCCAGGTCCTCTTGCTTGCGAGGTGAGTGCTTTAACTACAGAGCTACAGTATGCCCTGTATAGACATCAGTTTGGGTTACTTAGTAACGCTCCTGCCTCTCAATTGGAAGATTGTGAGCCCTTTGTCAGGTCTTTCCACTCATAATCCAGGCTACCACCCGATTTAAACTGGGGAAATAAATCCCATTTATGTTGCGTGCATGTATCTGTCTCTGCTTTTGTCATCCATCTGACTCTGAGTTAAAGTTAATCACTGGCATTAATGTTCAGCAATTTTAAAAAGGACTGGATTGCCGGGGTTCTTCTGCTGCTCAGAGGCAAGTGTAGCTTTGAGCCTTCAGACCAGCAAAGTGATAGCTTCAATCCCTGGACTATTGCTGACCTCAGCTGGTTGGCAGTAGGAGCAGTGCAGTTGGCTGCACTTTGGAATCTGAGAGATAAATGCTGCCCTCCATTTCACTTGTATTTTTAAATCTAGTCTGTACACATAATTATTAAAGGTTTACAACACTGAAGAAAAGACTGTTTAGCCCATCAAGTCTGTGTGGCATTAACTCCGCCAGTTGGATTTCTACAGTCCTACCCATTTACCTCAACCTGTTTATGTTGCCACTTATATCGACAAAAAAGTGAAGTCCAGGTCCCTTCCCTTCCCTGCACATTAATGCTAAAACTTACCTTCTATGTCAACATTAACATAAACTCTGGCACATTTATACCACCAAGTGGTTTAGGTCCGAAACAGTATTAAAGGCATTGTTTTATTACCAATTTTTTAAAACTTTTTTGGGAAATAAGTTAAAGAAAATACATGTAAATAAATGGTTCAGGAATTTTAATTAAATGCATGACTTTTTTAAATGAATCAAAGAAGATACATGCAAATGCATGGTACTGAAATTTTAATCACAGAATACCTATTGTCCACTTGTGACAGCCTATATTGACAAACTGCCCTATATCACCTAAAACTTGAATGGTCCCTGATATTTGGACATAAGTGGGTAGGACTGTATTTCATTCCCATTCACTTGCACTTTCCCCAAATCCTTTAATATTATATTGCTTCAAGTATTTATCCAATTCCGCATTAAACGCTCTTAGGAATTGGCATAACTCCCATTTGTGATAAATCATTTAGTATTCTAACAACACTCTGAGGTAAACAGAATCTTCCAACCTCCCCTTTTTTGCATCCTGTGATAATCATCAGTAAAAATAGTCTCTAAGGATGAAAAAGCACTTGCCAGTAAAACAGCAATATTAAGTTGATTTGTGCCAGATTTGCACCACCTCAGTATGCAATGCGTCTCTTCCAGAACCCACAGATGTCACACTGACCTGGGAGTACTCTGCTCTGATGAGATCTCAGATCACAGTTCCCAGGAGCTGACATGACATTGGCATCCCCTGCATGAAACACTGTATGTCCCAAAGAACCTATTATGTTGCCATTTTTCTGTCTGGTGCTTTTTCAACCTCATTTTCTTCATTCTATTTACCCTGCTGAAACCATTCATAATTTTGGAAACATATTTACCTGCTAACATAGAAATATGGTGAAGGGATTGCTTCAATTTAGATCAAGTCTCAATGATGCACTAGAGGGCTCAGGACTACATTTTGTACTTTAGGTTAACATTCCAAGTATATGCATTTGCCTCTTAATTTCTGCAGGCCCTTTCTTCATATGGAGCTGCTTTTGTGGGGCCCACTTCCTCACCGCTTCCTATTGTATTTTTATCACTCAAAATAAAGTTCCTCACAAGTTATACCTGGGTATCACTCAGTGCCAATCATATTCAGTGATTCGTGCTGCGGAACAGAACTGATTGAAAGAAACAGCAAGGCTCCTGGGCCATTAGGCAGCTTTACTTGTGCTGAAATGTGTTTGTTTTAAAATTCCCAATTCAGTTTTCCCAAAAAACCTCAAAAGGCTCATTAAAGGTGAGTAACACTATAGAATACTCTTGCACACCACCAGATGGACTCAGCTATTTCAAAGAGCCCATCGTTCATCTGTGGACCCAGGCATTGATTGCTTACAGGCTATTTAAAAAAGCACATAAAAAATTTGATTTTTTTGACCTTGCAAAATGCCCAAACATGAACTTACCAGCAGGGGTTGTTGGTGGTGATCAGACGCAGGGACCTTAGCTGATTGTTTCCCTTAGGAAACCAAGCTGATTGGAGCCCGCATGCACCCCCTGGCTAAGGTCAGCAAACTCAGCATAGATTGGGCTCACAGAACCCAAGTCTGAAAAAAAACCTAATCTTAGCCTGTAAGACCATTTGTCTTAAAATTTTAAAATGTGCAGAATTGTGGAAAATTCTTAAATTCAGTGTTAATTTGCAAACAGATATTTAGCAGTTCTTAATGCATACATGAGCCAGAAGGGAATAAAGAGCATAAGGAAAGAGGTTTAAGCGGGGTGGAATCTCATGTGGACTAGAAACACTGGTATGCATTAGTTGGGCCGAATGGACTGTTTCCTTGTTGTAATTTCGGTCATCTTTTTCATCTCCACCAACTTTGGCCTCTAACTACAGCTCAGGTGTCCAGACATTACTGTTAAATGCTTTGGGATGTCCTCCCAATGTGAAAGGCACTATATAAATGTACATTGTATTATACTGTAATTCTATATAACTGACTCCCAAATTAAGACTGAATTTAAGAACTTTCCATGGTGATGCACAATCTTAAAATGGCTGGGAATAGGTTGAATTTCTGGCCTCTGGAATTCTCTCTGTCAGATCCACGTCAGGCAATGCTTCTACCTACTGAGCCATCAGAAGAACTGCATCTAATTCTGGATATAGTCACATCTTCTGTTTCTGACATACACATTATTCTTTGTGGGCTTTAATAAAGTGTCATCTCACGCTGTTGCCATCACTTTCCAATTACACACAGTTTACCAAAAGCAGCACATCAGAAATGTTGTCAGCAAGTTGTAAATTATGCAGAGGCTGAAGGCCAAATGTATGTGAGGTTCAAGTTACAGTAACCGCAAATGTAATTAGAAATACTTATCCTGTTTTAGTCAGGGATTCGGTTGACCCTGATAGTAATTGCTTTGCGCTGTCTCACAAGCTAACCTCACTTTAATCCTGATTTACATAATTAATATAATTGTTGTCGTCTGGACAGTCTTTCATTAGAATAAGAATGAACGGCTGTCAGACAGGGTCTGACAAGAGGCCGAATGTTCCCACTGTTGGCAGCTGGCCTTGTATTCCAAGCTCTGCTTCTTTTCTGTGGATTAAGAAGATGCAACTCGCTTCACGGTGGCCGTGATCGATTTCTATCTGGCTTTGATGTACAATCTGCAAACGTGAAGCAGAACAGGGCAGTAGCATCGAATTGATAATCCCTAGTGCAAAGACATTGCCACATCTTTGCCCTGGTTACATTGTGTAACCCAAAACTATAATGATTATATGGGTGAAAAATGCAACATTCAATAGTAATAATAATTGAAATAGTACCATTCACATCAGGAGGATATCTTAATGTGGTTCGCAGGATATATTGGGTAGTTTAGTAATTAGGTATACTGCAGGCAAAATGTCAATATTATCACTCGTACTAATTATCAACTGTCAAGAATTAAGATCAAACTGATTTCAGTTCAATGGATTTGCCGCAAATCTTTTTTTTAATATTGTTCCATATTCCACCTTGGATTCCAACTTAGTGGACCCCAAGCACTTATTATGGATCCTGGAAGCAGTGTATAAGTACTGTTTCATAGGACACTGGTTGAGTTAAACTGGAATCCTATTTTTAGCTGCAGAAAAATACCATTACCAGAGGCAACAAATTGGAGGATGGAAATCTTCGCACTCCTGAAAATTTTGTCGAGACCTCAATTGTAGTTTCTGTGTGTAGAAATCGGCCTTTGAAGGTTTATTCACAGATTATTCCCAACTCACATTGAGGCAGTCATTATCCCCTGAATAAATTTGGAAAGCCTATTTTCGGCACTTTAAAATAATCACAACTGAACTGGAGTGCTTTTCAGCTGGATTTAGTGCTGCTATTATTTAGAAGTTTTGTGGGAGTGGGATATACTTACATTTAAGGAATGGAATATGTTTAGGAATACTCCCAGTTCTGAAGCCAATATTTTGATGTATGGGGAAAGGAGTTTACCCATTATTGGTGAACAAGGAAGTGTTTTCCCTTCTTTAACTCTGATGAAAGCACATAACATTTATTATGGCGTTAGGCATATAGTGTTGATTCCCTCCACATTTACCTAAAATATAGTTTGGATTGATTTTGCAGTATTTCTTAATTAAAAGAAATAGATTTGTTAATTAAGCAATCTGAGTGAGGACTCTTTCTTTTAATATCATTCAAATAATTCTGACTCAAGCAATGTGTATTCCAAAAATAGATTGTTTGAGTTGGAGTAGGTTTCCTCTGAGTTGGTATCATGGACTTTCAGATACTTTAATCNAAAAATCTGTTAAGAAATCCACAAATCCGGTTGATCAGTTCTAATTTAAGAAGATTATGCTTTTCTAAAAAAAATGCAACTTTACACTTTATTTCTTCTTCTTTTATTCCTTAGTTCTTTCATTCCTGGCTGCCCACATGAGACAGATAGATTGGTAGCACTGTGCTGAATATCCAACCTGCTTTCGGCTTTAGATTCATATTTTCTGGATTGCCTTGCCCTCCTTTGATTCTGTCTCATTGCACGCTGTCAGCGGGGACATGATCTCTTGTGCAGTGACTGGATTATTACCCCAAGTTACAAAAGTAAAGCAATCCGTGCCACCAAAATCCATTCTCCAAGCATTGAAATTATGTCAAAATAGTGAACGTGTGTTTGTGCCCACTGCCTTTTTTTCCAGTCATTTGACTTTTATTTTGCTGGTTGGTCTACTTTAAAAAATCTGTTCAGAAACAACTTTGGGAAGAGTCTGTTGATGATTTTGTGTGTTTCAAGTTAATTTACACAATTGTGAAAAATGACATTATTCTCCTGTGAGCTCATTATGGCGTCTGGAAGCTAAAGTTGTTGTGACATTGGGGGAGGGTTCATTGAAAATGGTAGTTAATTACTGATGGTCGCCTTTGTAAACCATTGTAGTCAAATTTCATTAATTTTGTAGTTGAAATCATAAAAACAGAGGGCCAGAAGCAGGCTATTTGAGCCTATAGTCCTTCAGATGAGACATTGGACCCAGGCACCATCTGTCTATTCAGGTATATGTTAATGATCCCATGACACTATTCGAAAAGAAATGGAAGTTTCTCCCGATAGCCTGGCCAACAATCCCCCAAATAAAATTGGTCACTGGCTGTTTATGGGACATTGCTGTGTGCAAACTGTTGCAATGTTTGCCCACAAAACCCATAGGGAATATAATGATGTAGTTTATATGAGTTTGTGTAAAATGTTCTGTGTTTTAATATTATTTCAGAGTATATTTCTCCCACAAAATACACAGTCTTCACTTTATAGTATATCCTGTGAAACACTTTGTGATGTCCTCCCAATATTAAAGATGCTATACCAAATCTAAGGATTATATTATTATATTGGTGCTACCTCCTCCATTGGCGTTTCTACTCTAATTCCGGTTCTCCACGCTCTTTTACGTGGAGTTACATAGAATAAGGTAATGTGCCAGTCGAGCCTCCGGTCTGGAATACTCTCCCTCAATCACTCCGCCTTGTCCCCTCTCTCCCCTTTTTCAAGTCGCACCTGAAAACCTCTCTCTTCGACCGTGCTTACGGCCATCTCCCCCACCCCCCCAAACCCCCAAACCCCCAATCAGAGTTAGGCACCGCCACTGTTGAGTGCTCTGAGACGCTACCCTGCATGGAGGGCAAGTTGTTGTTATAATAGGGCAAGTTGTTGTTATAATAAGGCCAAACCATTTGGCTCAATAGGACTGAGTTGGTGTTCATGCTTCACATGAGTCCCCACCCCTCCTATTCATCTCACCTATATCCCTGTGTTCTCATTTCACATTCTAATATCAAAAAAACATAATAATTTGGTCACTCAATCCTCAACTTTGTGGGACACTGCTGTGTGCAATTGGCTGCAGAGTTTCACCCACAAAATACATAGTCACTATACTTTACAGCTGTGAAGCGCTTTGAGACGTCTCAGCTGCATGATAAGGCGCTATATCAAATGCAAGGATTATTATTATTATCTTCTGCATGTAAATGTTCTAATTTTTCAGTGTGTCTATTTGTTTTAGTATTTTATCTCCACATTGCTCTATGCTTCTCTAATTCTGATTCCCAAACTCCTCAGACTGGCATGAGGTTCCACCAGCACTGGGGTGAGGTTCCATCAATCCTGACCACCCTCTGATACCCAAATGGGCATTGTTCATATGCGAGCCTTGGCAGTGAGTGGTGGTGGGACACTTAATTATAGAGGGCATCACAGGCACTTGCCTCACTGCAGGGTAACTGGCAAGCACATACACTCGTGTTAATAGGAAGGTGCTGAAGAGGGATGAGGAGCAGGAACCCGGCTGGCATTCCCTCCCTAACCCCAGAAAGGCCAGGACAAGTTGTTTAATCCCATGCTGCCCTACTGAGACCAACAGCAGGGCTCCATAAACTGCAGCTCTGTCCACTGCATAGTAGTTCAGTGGTTAGAGCACTCGCCTCGCAAGCGAGAGACCTGGGTTTGATTCCCAGCAGGGTGAAACCTTGGGCAAGTTTCCTTACTCCACACGACTGATAATAATCCCTCAAGAAAAAATAGAGCCCTTTAACCTTCAAGTCAAAGCCCCTAATTAGTAGGGTAGTCCTAGCTGGAATGCAGCAGGAAGCTTGTCTGTTTACAAAGGCAAAAAAAGTGCTGTCAATGGCAAGCTATGTGGTTTTAACTGGTTGAGCTTCAGCAGTATCCCATTGCTAAATAGTATTAAATAATGTAATATTTTGGTCACACAATCCACGACTGCTTGTGGGACACTGCTGTGCGTAATTGGCTGCCATTTTTCGCCCACAAATATACAGTCAATTCACTTTACAGTATATTCTGTGAAGTGCTTTGAGACGTCTAGAAGACTTGAAGAACGCTATATCAAATGCAAGGAATATTATTATTTTTATAAGGGCTGCCCCAAAAAGGTTACTTCTTATCTCCCACGTTAACTCTTCTAGGAACAATCCAGACCTTATACACCACTTATTCACAAACCAACAAGAATAACCATTCACTATTTATCTATTCAAAACCTTACAGAATTTTGAAGATGTCTATTTGGATGGATTCTTAATCTTCTCTGTTCCAATGAAAACAGCCCAAGTTATTGAAGCTTTTTCTCATAACTGGATCTCATTTGCGTGAAGCTGTTTCAACAGGGTTAAGCTAATAGAACGAATATTGGTCCTTTTCTATTCATCAACTGTAAGGGATTGATGCTTATCTTTTATTTTCTGCTTTGACAGGTATCGAGTGGTTGTCCCCTATCCACCTCAGAGTGAAGCCGAGATTGAACTCAAAGAAGGTGATGTTGTGTTTGTTCACAAGAAGCGGGAAGATGGATGGTTCAAAGGCACGTTACAGCGGAATGGAAAAACAGGCCTATTTCCAGGAAGTTTCGTGGAAAGCTTCTAAGAAGCTTAATGCTAGCAAGGAGCTGGTGTTTTATCACTTGAAGATCATGGCGGCTGGACATTAAATACAAGTGGATAAATAACAAAGCACAAAGACGTGGGAATCAATAATTCATATTCACTGCCATTGTCACTTCCAAAGAAATCCAAAAGACCTGTCTACTATAATGGCTTTTCATAAATGATGCTGTTCCTCTATAAATGTGTACATACAAAAGTATCTTGAAGCAGTGCCTTCCCATGAAGCCACAGACTCAGAGAAGTACATTTGCATTTTAACCAGAATGAAGTACATTTATTCTCCACTATGTAAATGATAAATTTGAACATTTTTTAAGAAAAAACAAAAAAGAATTTTGATATATCATCATAAGTTATTTGATAAGATAACACAAATGGTGACTGATTGCACGTGAGGTGATTTCACTGGTAGGTCAGAGTAATTCTTTATTCAGTCGGATAGTGGGAAAGTAGAAAACAACTGGATTAAATAGAAGCTGGGAGGCTCTATTCAACAAGGGTTAGTTACCATCGGGAATAATTCACTGCAGTTTCATTCTAACATTCAGATGTCTTTCTGTCCAATTCCCAATTTCTGTGATCCAGAGCACCTAAGAAGAACTACAGTAAAGGTACAAACATTAACAAAACCATCATATCATTGAGCTAAACATTGAGTTGATTGTATTAATAAATGATTAATTGGCCTCAATGTATAGAAAGCAGCTCACTTGAAGGCAAGTTCACAAGGCTAAGGAGAAGACGAATAGTCTAAATCCAATATTTGTGCATTAAAGAGAATCTGTCTTCTCTTCATTAATTATCAAGTGTTGATTGCAACCTCCAGCTCTTCCATAATTAATTGAAAGCAAGTAACTATATTCTGTGTGAATAATTGCATTGGAGAATAGAATGCAAATAATGGCCTGGTTGCCAAAGAGTAATTCATCCTAATTATGTCTGAAAATTAACAAATGCAGCATGTGTCAGCTGATTGCTATGACAGATGACTGGGACAAATAGATTCCCTACAAATCAGTTTGCTATCCAGTAATTTTTCCAAATGTTCTTCACAATGCTGATAGATTGAATTTGAGATTTGCCTGGGAGAATCCTTCTATCGAGTAATGAATAAGAATGTGCCGTGTACTGAATCTGATTGTTCAACTAGATGGACTTGTTCACTTAACCATTCTTCAGTGACTACAGTACCAAATTCGACAGATTAGGCATATTAACTTAAATCACATTCCAGAACCAGGAAGCTTTTGTGCTGAGAATGCGTTTCAAATGTACAATTTACTTTGGAGGACACAGGGTCGATTCCTGTTGGCTACACAAAAAAATGGTTCTGATCATATGAAATATTCAAAAAAATCGGGGTTTAAATGTTGGTGTGCTGATAAATGGGCAGTTCGCTCAGTTGAATTAGAACCAAATGAAGAGAATGGATTACAATCCCAGAAGGTCATCATGGGTTCCTTCACCTGATGTCAATTAAACAATGAGTGCCTGTCCGTAAAAAACATATCCTCTTGTGGCTTTAGCAGTCTCCCTAGGAACATTTTTTCAAATCTTTTTATCATACATGGCTGAAGAACTGTTCTGCATTTGCATTTACGCTATATCAAATGTACGGATTATTATTATATAGTGCCCTTCATGTGGGGTAACATCTCAGAGCGCTTAACAGTGGCAGAGCTTGACTTTGAGCCAGATTGGAAGTGCTGGCCTTAATCACAGTTTTGTGAGTCAGGGAAATGTTTTTCAACGATACCAAAAGTAAGGCTAGTCTTTCTAGGCTTATCTCTTCTGTTGATAACAGTGACGAGAAATAAAATCAGTGGGCCTACAGTTCCGTCCCCTTCTCTGAAGCTCAGTGGAAACTTCCAACCACGAACATTTGAAAATAGAGGGAAATCTGAAAGCTGGCTGAGTCGTGAAAGTGAAGTGTTAGGTTAACTACAGCCTGATCTTGTTAATGGGAAACTTGTATCCTTGGAGACAAGGAGCACTGGGAAGGTTGAGAAGCACTTTACAGTAAATCCTGTGAAGTACTTTGAGACATCCTCCTGATGTGAAAGGTACTAAATCAGTATACAAATTATTGCTCATCAAGGAAATAGTGGGATAGGTTGCTGTAATCAAGCATTAACATGGGTCGAGGTCGAGGTTTAATACCTTCCAAGACTGCAAATGGAAGCTCAGATGTGCCCAGCTTGGTTGGGTAAAGGTCGTTCACGAATCATAGATAGCACAAAAATCCTAGAATTAATCAATGGTCCACAGTGACTTAGCTGAATCCAACTGGGATGGTGTTGGGAGTGTCAAAACTGGCCTCAGTTTAGCTCAGCTGAGTTCAGCTGTTCCTGACCTCGGGAAAGGAAACGTCAGCCAAAGTTTGCTTTCCTGATCACTTTCCAGTGACCTTTGCTTGTCTGCATGGACTCCAGAGAACTGAAATCCTTCTTGGCCTTAAGAGCAGTAGCACTGATAATGTCGGCTTCTAATGGGATTTTTACATTCCAGCCGCACATTGCTAATCTAGCCACCTGGAATGTCAGAAAGAACATCAATTCTGGGAAAAGGACGATGGCTATGATGTACCTAACCACCCCTCTCTCTCTCTCTCTCTCTCTCCTCACCCCCAAGTTCTCCAGTCAAGTATGATCTTGATAGATCACTGGGGAGATAGTGATATCCTATCTGTCGTGGACCCAACATTAATCAATCTGCATGAGCTTCTACACAGAATTGAAACAAACCGAGCAACCATTTCACTGCCAATCACCTGGATCCTTGAAATGTATGAATGTGCTGACAGAAAAAGTTCAGATGTCCTCTGCTGTCCCCCGTTCTCCAAAATGAAACCACCCAACACCACAAAAGAAAAAATGTTCCTTACTTTATTCTTTCTTACCTGCGTTATACATGTCCACATTGCCTTTATAAATGATTTACATTTGCCCTATATGCCAACTAAGTGAACAAGTCCCAGTAACTTGAGTATTGTCCAGTCTGTAGGCAGTGTGATGTATGTAGTGAGGAAGGTCAGTGTGAACCATTTTAAATGAATAACCTGTTACTTAAGCGATGTTATACACATTTGAGAGGAAGGCCTGTTTTATGAACTAAAGGTTTGACTTGACTTGTTTTCCTTCCAAGACTAATACGTCCATTAGTCACAAAAAAAGCCTTATTCTTCTTTCAAAAATAGCCATTACCCTTCAAAACAAAAAAAATGAATTAACAATGTTATATTGGCCACAGTGCCCCAGTGTAAGGAAGGGAATATAAACCGGGTTTCCTGATCAATACTGTATCTATCGACCCCTTGCGGCACATGCAAGTGAGGGCAGGATAGGGCTCAGCTTTGATGTCTCCTGCAATGAAATAGCCTGGTGATACTCATTGTCAAGGCCGTAGCAAAAATATGCTATGGGTTGATATACTGGAGGACACTTATGAAACTGAACAGTAGAAGGGAACAAAATGAATCAAATGCTACAGAAGAGGAGTGGAACAAAGAAAATTGGTAAAAAGAAAACAGGTTTTTTTAAAAAATACTTTTGTTTATACAGAAAGTTGCAGTGACATAATCATCGAGCTGACTCAGGGAAGTTTCTGAGTCAAATAATGTGAGAGAGCTGATGAGCATCAGTGGAGATCGCATTGATTAGACCACAGATGGTTCACTGATCTCACCTCATCTGTACATGTTAATCCAGCTTCTTTTCTGCTGGCCGCATAAGAATTCCACGTTAGCTCCTCCTGTATTTCAAAACTCACCAGTAATCATTTCTACAAAGAGAAACAAAGTTAAGCTTTCTTCCAGCAGGTTGATTTTTGTTTATAAGGGCTACTGATTGCGAGATTCTTACATTTTGTGAAAGTCAAAACTTAAACCAGCTGTTAGATTGGTAAATGGAGAAACGTTCCAGTATTAAATTGCCTTTGCTTGGTGCGCTGTGGCAATGTACTTTTTCCGTTGAACTGTAGTATAACTGGCACAGATAGAATCACGTTCTGCCAAGGTAGACAAAACACTGCATAACATAGCAACCTTTTCCATTGCTGTTGAATGTCTTGCACACAGCCCTTTGGAATGATGAACCACAGCAGAATAGAACTTGTCTTTCTGTTTCAGTACCACTAAAAAGGAAACAAAATACATATCATAATTATAGCTGAGGACCAGCTGAGCATTGTAAGTACTGTACGCACGCTAAGGGTGCAACGATTATCCATTCAGAAATTCCCTCCTTGTACGAACTATTTAAATTATCTTATTTTGCTCAACCCTTTGTAAAATTCCAGTGTCTGTTAACTGACAAAGTCTTGATGTGTTTGTAAATATACTTTCAAAAATGTTGCCTATAAAAAATGATATAAAGATTCCTTGGAGTCACTTTATGACTTACAGCTAATTCTTACCAGTTAATCTTTGCTAACTCTTGCTGCTGAGCAAAGACATGTCCCATAATCGTTGCACTCTTACTTGATAGGAAAGACATTTACACATTTTTACAAAATGTTTTGACTTTTTGCATTCATCTGTGTGACTCTTTGTCCAGCAGTAATAAAAGTATTAAATATGATTAAATCATCCTTGGATGTTGTTTAGATTATGTGGGTTTGTGTGCAGTATTTCTTTCTGTTATTTGTGGAGTACAAGGCTGGCTGATCAAGTCAAGACTGCAAAAAATGTATCAATCCTCAAATTCAAGAAGTGAAGTAATACGGCGATGTGTTTTAACAATGGGAAAGTGGGGGAGACTCTGGCAATGCACAGTTGAAGCTGCTAACAGATGTTCAGTAACTATGCTATTAATTTGGTTGCCACCTGCCAGGAAACAGACTGTACCTTACTAAATGAATAACTTCTGCATCCTATAGACCAATTTAGCTTCTCGCCTAATCCTTACAAAAGCATCGGCCGTGTTGAATTCCACATTTGTTAATTAACAAATGCTCAAGCAGCTCTCATTCATTTGAAAATTTTTCATCTTCCTGTCAAAAAATTTTGAAGATAGATTTTACATAAATTATATTCATACCCCATGACTAGCATGTCATGGCTATATTCTCTAAGCCGGGGAAGTCCAACCTTTTGGTTGCTGAGGGCCCTGTTTGAGAGTTGCCCGCAGGCCGTATAAGCAATATTTTGGTGTTTCCCTTCCAGAAACATAAAACTTGTGGGTTATGCAATGAGCGGGTGGGACAGATGACATGGTGGGGTGGGGGGGTGGGGGAGGCGGTTGAGTTGGACGACCTTGCTCAGTCCATTAGTTTTCCGCCAATATTGAATCATGGCAGTTCGTCTAATCCCATTGCCCTACCTTTTCTCCATATCTTTTAATATAGTTACTTCACAAGTATTTATGAATCTCCCTTGATCAGTATCTCAATCAGTTTTGTACCTATGGAATTCAGGGGCACCTGCCTTATATGAATGAAAGGGATCGACCCTCTTAACACCTGCTTCCTACAGATCAAGCCTAATCCTTACAAAAGCACTGGCTATGTTGAACTCCACCATTGTTAATTAAGTTGGCTCAACCTTCTCATTAACCTTTGTGTCTTCTGATTTCACGGTCTTACTGGAATAACTCTAATTTTAAGACTGTCAGTCAGGTTCAGTTGGTGTTTCATCCTGCCTCAATTGGTAGCACTCGCTTCTTGGTGAGGAGGTTGTGGATTAAAGTCATCCCTATTTTGGGACTGAACTGATAGTCAAGGCTGACTATAATGCACTGTTAAAGATGTGATCCCTTGGATGAGACATTGAACCGAGATCCAGGCCAACAATCCCTCAAATGGAATTGCCCATTCATTTCATGGCTGTTTGGAAATTTGCCATCTTGCACTACAAAATACAGTCACTACACTTTACTGTATATCCTGTGAGGGCTTTGTCATGTTCTCCTGACTTGAAAGATGCTACATCAAATGATTTTAAAAAAATATTTAAGACTCTATTCCCTTGGATTTGGATCTGCTAGAGTGAAGAATTGTTCCCTATTTCGCTTGTCAATTTCCCTTATTATTTTAAATGTTTAACCTCCTCAGCTCTAAGGATATAACCCAAGGTTATCCAGTCTCCTGGTGACAGTCATAGTCACAGTCATAGGGTGTTTCCTTTGCCACGTGACAAACCTATTGTTCCAATACTGTGACATCTGCAAAATCATAGGAGTCCTTTAGCTCAGTGGTTAGATCGCTCGCCTTGCAAGCGAGAGACCTGGGTTTGATTCCCAGCAGTATGAAACATTGGGCAAGTTTCCTTACTCCACACGTCTCTGTTTACCTAGCAGTAAGTAGGAAGCCGGTTGTTAGTCGATTGATGGATCACTTTTTCAAGAGGAATAATTCTTTTGAAAACATTAAAAAAATCACGACTGTTTGTGGGACACTGTTGGCTGCTGCGTTTTGCCCACAAAATATACAGTCAATTCACTTTACAGTATATTCTGTGAAGCGCTTTGATACGTCTCAAAGACATAATAAGGCGCTATATCAAATGCAAGAATTATTAGTATTTATTATTATTTGTGCCACAAAAAAATACTTTTTCCCATCTTGCCCAGTTGAGAAATTGACACTTTGCTAAAGATAGTCAAATGGTTCTGAAACTAAGATTGATGAGTACCATTTGTAAATCATCTCTCTGTCTGGACAATGCTTTTCTATACTTAACATATCTGGAGCAACCTATTCCATGCACTAAATGAATTATCGATCATTTGAGCTCTTTTCGCAAAGTGAACTTCAATAAGCTTGAGGCAAGTTTATCCTCCCTGGCGTGTTACTCAAGGGTACATCCCTTTAAATGGACACCTAACGGATTAGATATGACAAGAGTTGAAATTTCCTTCACAACTGAATGTTTTGCAGATGGTTCCCTAGGCATCATGTTCTGCATCAAGGAAGAGCTCTATCTAGTTCTCTCCAGTTACTGGGCAGTTCAATCAGTCTAATGAAGATTCCTCCACTGCCTCCTAATAAATGTTATCAGTACCCCTTCACAGGATGGTTATTAATCTTAAACACAGTGTGCTTTAAAATAGCTAATTTAAACCTAGTTAAAATGTCCACTGGGCAGTGTAGATCTACAAAATAGTTTCTTTTGCACAAGAGCAACAAATTGTAGCAGCCCATTTGATCTCATTCTTCCAGATTACCCACCCTAGCGCTTTATATAACAGCATTAAGTAGCATCAAGCTGAATGATAGAGGTTAAAAATGCTCCTGCCTATTTTGTGAAAACTGCAAAACCTGTCCCTAAGGCTGATCTGAAGTTAATGCTTTTCCTATTTTTAGTGACTGGAACGTGTTCTGCAGATATTCATGCATATTGTTGCATCTCGTTCTCGGCGAATCCAAATCATTCCTTAGAGAATTAGGTAATAATAATAATCCTTGCATTTGATGTAGCGCCTTTTCATGTCGTCGAGACATCACAAAGCGCTTCACAGAATATATTATAAAGTATATATAAAATAGATAGGTCTGGGAGAACCGCTTCTATTTTGAGAAAGAAGGGTTTTACAGATCTCTTCATAATGAGATTTTGGAGTCCTCGCACCAGTTAAGGTTAGGGTTTGATTATACAGCTGTGCTTCTGCTGAGATCAAACCTACTATTCTCCTAAAAAAATTAAATTCTTACATTTAATACAGCTCCTTTCAGATCAGAAGGCACTTCACTGGAATTGCTAATAAGTGTAATAACTGTGTATTTTGTAAGCAAATAAAATAACCCCTAATTTTTTAACCCCTGCAAATTTTGATATCTCCCTTTTGAAACAGCTAAATTAAGGGAATACCTCTATAAGTATAAGGCAACATATAAACATAGTCACAATTATCTGCTTCATTGACTTCCAATAACAATTCTACTCAGAATCACTAATCAGAATGCACTTCTGGTTTGCTTTAGAGTCAGTCTGATTCACAACATACAAGCTTGTGTGTTTTTTTAATACTTTTTGAATGTTAATGTGTGGCTGGTAGTAGGAACCGAAGCACATTGGCAGATTGGGGCATCCAACACATTCTATGCATTCCTGGAGTGCTGTTGTGTTTCCATCTATATAAATGATTTGAACATGGGCTAAGGAGAAATTTTGAAATTTGCAGATGGTCCACATTAGGGGATATGGCAAATGCGAGGAAGAATACTGAAGAATATAAGGGGGCATAGGAATTAGTACTTTGAGCAGAAATGTAGTGAATTAAATTGAAAGTTACAATAGTCCTTTGAGAACATTTGGGAAGAAATGCGAGTCAGAGGTAAGTCTTTAAATGGGCTTTAAAAGTGGGGAAGGAGGTAGCAAATTAGGGATGATGGGATTGAATTCCACGGAGCAGGGGCAGAATGGCTGAAAGCTCACCCGCCAATGGTGTGACAGATCAAGCAGGACACAGGAAACAGGCTGGTTTTCCCTGAGCATTGGGAGCAGCTGGGTCGGTAGAATAATCCATCTTTCTAACATAAAATAAGAGCAGGACAAAAGATGTGGACTACACAGCCTATGCACTGCACATAGGGGGAAAGAGATTTGTTTGAGTATCCCATAGGACTAAACCGATAAGATCAGCCCTTAATAAATAATAGATTTAATAATAGATGAGGTAAATCACATGGCTGGAATAACAGCAATAATTAAGTAGTGGCTATATACAATGTTAGATCTAATGGATATGATCTAAAAAAATAACCAAAAACAACAGATAATATTTTATCCTTGTCTCATAAAATTGTTTTCGTAATATATTTTATCTAACCTGACATTTGCGAGATTATTGCCTTAGCTCCTTCTTGTTATGGCTCCTTTTCTTCATCTTGGTAATGAATGTAAGATGTTGCCCATCATCAGTTGATGAAGCATTTCCACCTGTCTTTAAACAGTCAGTGACCCTGCACTGTTCAATTATGACAGTATTTGCTACCCAATCTGTTCTGGCTGGATGTTTATCTAGTGTCAAATTACACATCTGTTATTTGCTCTACTTTGATAACTCATGAATTCACCACTAGATCCAATTCCAATATAGGTACATCTGCCATCCAAAGCATTTAAATGGATATTGGATACATGCCTGATATTCAGTTACAATATTAAGATATCCATTTGCTGTGCAATCTGTTTGGAAGATATTATGGGGAACAATTCCATTTGAGTCTAGGTATAGCTTTACTCTATTTTATTAGCATTTCAAAGCATGCAAAATTTGGCAAATATTGAATTCAGTATTAAATTTGAAGCCATTGTTACATTTGTATAAAATGTACAGATTGGAAACAGGCCATTTGGGCCAACTGGGCTGTGCCGGGGTTCACACTCCACATGAGTCTCCACCCACTCCTTACTTGCTCCCATACACTTCTAATCCCTTTGCCCTCATTTGTATATCTCCTGTAGCTCAGTGGTTAGAGCACTCGCTTTGCAAGCGAGAGACCTGAGTTCAATTCCAAGCAGGGCGAAACCTTGGGCAAGTTTCCTTACTCCACACACCTAATAATAATCCCTCCAAAACCAAAAACAATAATAAATTGATCATTTTCAATCCACGACTGTTTGTGGGACATTGCAGTGCGCAATTG